TCCTTGCGCCAGATTCGGCCTCTGACCAAATCTGAATGATCACACGTTTAATTCCAAGGAAGAAGGGAAAATATCCGTGATGTTTCAAAACATGAAGGATGCAACCATCCAGGACTTGGTTTTGCGCAAAAAGGACACATCATTATATCATCACCTGATCATTACCCATCTACCTCAACTCAAGGCAATTAGGCAACATGTTGATTGGAGACAAATGAATTTGATCTACTGATTGATTAGTGTCTCTTTAGGGGAAATGTATTCTGCATATTTACAAGGTCAAGAAGGTATTCAATCCTGCTGATGACGTAATGATCTGCTGCTTGCGATTCACGAATAAACTCATACTGGTGTAAATGTAGTGTCAGTGAGTTTCACACGTTTACCCACAATGTCCTGAGTGCTCTTGGCGTTTCAGGAAAATGAACCCAACTGTAACTAACAACCGTAACACCAATCCTTTCTGAGGATTTACGAGTGTGGTGCACCTACTTTTTACTGGACTTCTGCCGACGTGTCCAACAGCCGGAGCCGACTAATTTGCAAAACCCCTAGGCCAGTAAAGCTCGGAACGGACCAAAGTGCCATTCGTGCGTCTTCGGAAAAAGACCAGTCAGGAAACGGGCTCTTATTTCTGATCTTTATTGGTTTTGACTCCCCTCCGCCAGCGTACAGCGTGGTGTTGCAGTGGCCCAGGTACCCCTCAGATGTGACTTCTCAGTTTTCCTCATCTGGAGGAAGACATGGGGGGGAGAGAGAAGGAGAGTTTCCAGTTACCACAACAGCTTCGCTCCCACTCTGAATAGAAGCCACAGAAGGATGATGTTACGTGTCTGTTTTTTTTAATTGACAATATTTCATCTCTGTGGTGCAGTGCGTGGCCTCAGAATTACATCACATTTTCATTTAATTAATAATTCCTTACACTTCTACAGCGCTTTTCTGGACACTCCACTCACAGCGCTGTACAGGTAATGGGGATCCCCTCCACCACCACCAGTGTGTACCCCCACCTGGATGATGCTCCAGTCCGCTCCCCACACACCAGCTCTCAGTGGGGAGGAGAGCAGAGTGATGGAGCCAGTTCAGAGAGGGAGGTTATTAGGTGGGTACCCCTCCAGGTACTGGCCAGGCTCACACTGCTGGGCTC